TATTATTTTTGTGAAAAGTATACCTTTGTTGCCATCCCGCGATTTTGCAGCTTCATACACATGTTAGAGATCCAGCATTGTGCTGTTAATTCCCCATCGTGTAACCACAGGATGTCAAACTTCCAGATTCTGAAAGGGCTGTCGCACACTCCTTCATAAAACGATCAATTACGGGAAAATGATAGCTCAGATAGACCCATTGAATTCAGAAATCCATAAACATAAGATAAACCATGGGTGAATTTTTAGTAGAAAAGTTAGGCTTATACTATAGCAGAAAATTTTGCTGACCGTAAGCCCTTTTTCGTGGTGGCGCTGAGCGTAGTAAAGCTTTCGGTTGCGCGTGCATATACAGACTTCCACTGGTTCGTTTTCACTCGTCGCCCAGCAGATGGGCTTGTGGCTTTGCACTGTGATTGGCTACTTTTTTCACGACCTCTGACCGCGAGGTTATTACTTTTCTGTTAGCGAAGCGTTATTTTCAGTTTTTGTTATTCAATGGCAATGCTTTGGCACAAATGAAGGCGTTGGGTTATGTGATTAAAAACACGGCCTTGGTACAATCACGGTAATTTATCTTCTCACGAAGTATCACTGATCACGTGTCTTTTTTATTTTTTTTTTTTGCGATATATTTCAAATAATCGGTTATCTTTACCAATTTGGATGAAGTAATAAAATGTAGCGAGAACATTTTCAACAAGGAGAAATAAAAAGAAAAGATATCGAATTGATAACCGCCACATTGAGCGAGCCCGTGCGTTTGGCAAAAAAATTACCCACAATGCTCTACTGTGACCCGCATGACGTATTTCCTTCAATTATATCTGTGCAAGGCCATAAACCCTTCCCAGGGCGATGAGCGAATGGTTTGTGTTACTCTTACGCAACCTTCCTCCAAGGTAAGCGTGTTTTTATCGACTTGTTTGTAGCTACGCGTACCACACATAGGATTGCTTCCCTTTTGCAACTGAGTATAGTCAAAAAATTACAGACGAGAGGGGTGAGGGGAACAAAATTAATTTGGCGATAATTTTAACAGTTTCTTGGGACTCGATCCTTCAAAGTCGCCATATCTGTGGCTCCACTCAAAAGTGTTGTACGTAGATTCCAGTCTACAAGGGAAGGGTCTAATAATAAAATCCAAAAAATCACTGACCGTGGAACTTTGAAATGAGTTGGTCAGGAATGAAATAGTCTATGAACTGAGGACACAAAGTGCGCCGGGAAAGCTGAGGACGGAACTGTGAGGGTCCATATGGCTGGATAGATTCTCACCATCTCTTCAACTCGGCCTCACGGGTTGCAATCAGGGGGTTGACTCGAGAGTCAAGTTCAGATAGGGCACTCACCTCCCATGTTCCTCAACACCACTCGGTTCTCTTGAGCACGGATCAAACCTCCTCGCTCAGTCATGCGGCCCATGCATCTTAACAGGGCATCCCTATCCCGGAGCCTGTTAGCGTACACACATAGGTCCCGTAGAGATGGCATGTCGTTGACCTATAGGATGGAGTGTCAGTTACGGAGGGCCGAATGAATGAATGGTACAACAAAGTTTTACGTGTATCCAGAAAATTAAAAAAAAAAAAAAAAGACTATTGGTTGGCCTTGAAGAGCAAGGTCCTAAAAGCTACCTCTCTCAAACAGTGACGAGTCTTTTAAGAAACTCCTTAAAAAGAGTAAAACCCACTCTAAAAAGAATGAAAACAACTCCACGAGAGCAAAACTTGCCAGTTGTGACTTACATGTTTATGGCCCCTAGAAAACGGGAAATTTCACTCTTTCGGAGTAGTTTCACTCGTTTTAGAATGGTTATTAACCCATTTGAAGTGGTTACATTAGGGACTCATTGTTTTGGAGAGGGACTCTTTGACTCATTTGCATTGAGAGAGTAAAGATAAGGTCAAGGCCTTAAGATCAAGCCTTATGATGGCAACCTTAAGGCCAAGGCTTAGCATCAAGGCACTACTTCACTGGAATAAGGCCGACCTGTGCAAATTTTTGGCAACAGAAGGTCTCAGTCTGAGTTCCAGCCAACGTACCTGATCGAACGGGAAAGACTCGATCATGTTTTGAGAAAAGCAGGCAATTTCCAAGGACCTCATCTTGGTGAACGCCATCGGAATCGCTTTCAGACGGTTCGAGCGCATCTTCAACACTTTCAAATTCTGGTGGGGAATGTCAAACATTATTATCACAGTGTGTCTAGTGATTAGCACATCATGACCATCGTGATCAGTCGCTTTGTGAAGTTGCAATGGAATTAGGGAGGACTAAGTCATCAACACACGGTACTGGTGTAGAACTCGAAATAACAGAACTGTGATTTTTTTTCCCCGCAAAAGAAAAAGATGTTTTGTTTGAGATGACATAATTCCACCTGTTTTGAAGCAATTCATTTTGTTTTCAAGATCTGGATACACCATTGTTTTTCAGTCTGAATGATGTGAACCTAAAAACCAAGTACAAGAAGTCCTAACTTGACAACCATGATGTTCAACGGGAGAATTTGCTCAGAAGTGACAGGACAGTATTCTGGAGGGAGTTTTCTCACCGTCATGCCTGGTATGGACTCTGGGATTGAGGTGATAGCGTTGTCGTCAAGTATCAACATTTGTATTGTCGACATCCCGCAGAGTGACTCGGGGAAAGAGTTGATGTCGTTGTTGCTCAAGTATAATTCCTCCAGGTTGCTCAAACTTTTAATGCCATAACCTGAAATTTGATTGGAAGAAGATGCTGCTTTCTTTACCATCCAAATGTGGACAAAACAGGGGTCCTATAAACAACACATTATGCTCACTGTTCTCTTTATTACAGCGTGTTCGTTTGTTCATATCATTTCACTCCGAGTGGGGAAGTAGCAGACAAGTGCGGCGTTTCACAATGTCAGTGCATTTACTGATATGCCCTATTTTATTTACATGTATTTGGGTTGTCGGTTTTAGATTGTTGCAGTAAGTTTGTAACTGACATTGCCCCTATTTGCAACCCGCTAAAGCGTCAGCCTGTGCCCTGCGTAAAGCATTTTATAATCCGCATTCATTACAATATTAGAGTTCCATTTCACCGAAAATTCACATGTAATCAGGATTTTTTTCAGGTGTATAAACAAACGGCGAATGTTTATGGAAAGGATGGAGCGTACGGTTCTTTCCATACGCTTTGCCTTTGGAAATGGAACGTTCCATCTCTCACTAAATGAAATTGTCTCATCACCGCACTCATAAACATTCATTCAAATATACAATCCTACGAAATTTTCTATTTCATCAATTCTGGATTCCATCCTTCCTGAGAATCTAAGTCGTTTGCTCCCTACAAAATGATTACCGTAATGTAAGCTTACAAATGTCTGGACGTGGACCCACCTATTCCACCCGATGTCAGACGATTGTTCTTGAGGAACAACACCTGCAGATTCGTCAGTCCGAAGATGACGGTCGGAATCTCGACAAAAATGTTGAAGCCAAGATTCAGGATCTGTAGATTCACCAACTTCCCAAAAGCCGGGGGCAGGTCCTTCAGGTTGTTGTAGGTCAGGTACAATCTGGTCAGTTGAGTCAGTGACAGTAGCTGCGATGGGACCTCACAGACATTGCACCCGGACATAGACAAAGTCTTGGTACAATGACCCTGAAACAAATTTAGACGTTGGCGTAGCCTCTTTAAGGGTATTTAAAATGCAAACCAAAGATGACTGGAACTTAGAGAGATTGTGGGCTGGAACATTACCCGGTTGTCTTAAGGCTCTGACATGCAATCGTTACATTTTTAAACCAAAGACTCCGTGTCAATACTATTTTGTTTTAAAGAATCCATTCAAGAAGAGTAAGGTGACGTGACGCCTGTCTTTACAGCTAGCACAGGACCAACACTGGCAGATAAGCAGTATCTTCAAAGATGTTTGCATTGAATGGACAAAGTGCACTCGTGCAATCATGAATTACCATGTACGTAACTAAGATAATGTGAAATTTACCGTCTGTAGCTTGTTTACTGAAGGAAAAAGTAAAGATATTGAACAGCTGCAAAACGGAACAACAGGTGTGAGAAATAAATGGACTGCAAGACGACTAGGTACCACAGAAATCCATATCCATTTCATCTTTTGACCTATTTCAGAGCCGTTCCGCCTGCTGAGGTACTCCTGTATTGTAGGAAATAAAAATTCTCGAGAGTGTATCACCATTTGGGTTAATATATTCCATTCTTGGCTCGTTTTGAGCCTTTCCAGCTGGCTTTTGGGGATGTCCGAAGTTACGAAGAAGCCTTCGTCGGCGTCATTCTCGGTCTCATCACCCACGACCTGGATAGGATGGGTCTCTAGCTCTCTTGCCATCCTTTCGATCTGCAGACTGGAGAGTGCACCGAGTAGCAAAGCCTACCGTGGGTTTTTATGTGGTGATTATAAAATCATGACCCCCCACAAAGCACACGAAACGTTCACCGCTATGCTTCATTGGGCTTTGCTTGGTGTGTGCGTTTCCCGTAAAGGTAAATTCATGCCGTGTCTAACTGGACGGGGGAGTCACTTTGAAGAGACAGCCACAAAGTCGTTCTTCTACTGGCCTTTCAATCATAACGCCACAGTGAAAAAAATCCCTGACAATTTTTTTTTTTTTTTTTTGTTCAGCAGTTTTGCTCTCCCACCGAGTTCGACTGCCTTGGCTGCGCTTGCTCCACACAGTTCTATAAAAGTTAGCTGGAAACCTGACTCACAAACAGACATTGCTACAGCCAAATCGGCATGTAATGAACAATTGTCGAGGTCAAATACGTCTTTCGGAGAAAACCAAACTGGAACTTCACACGTAGCCTGTAAGTTTTTATGATTTGGATTTCCGCATCCGTCTATAAGCAGTGCGTGTTGAAACACTCCAGCTATTAACCGTTCGCCACCCTGCCACTCGGTGCAACTGACCACAGCCCCAGGCAATCAACTTGGTAACTTCTTCAAACTCGATCTTCATCTCGCTTTCTATAAACATAGAAAAACGTTTATTGAAAAAGTGTTTTAAGTTTAAACGGTTGCATGTTTACAATTAAGATAAAGACGTGTTTATGGACGCTGGTTTTTACGCGTTGACAATTGGAAATATGTCCACATTCACTGATAATGGCATGCAGGCGACTGCAAATTTCGTTAAATTGAGAGCGGTATATATTTGACAAAACATCTACCTGGAAGTTTGATCGGATCAAAGAATCACAAGGAAAGGATGCTTTCACTTGAAAATGACAGATATACTAGGCGCAACGATTGTACAGGATCCTCATTTCTATTATTTACTAACAAACAAGTAGCATATTTTGTAACAATTTTGAAGTTTCATTTTTCAGTGTTTGAAAATGGTGTCCGTTACCGCAATCTGGAAATTACTTTGTGCTTTAACCACTTTGCTCTCAACAAAACGATTTAATTGGAGATCAGACAGCCTTGCCTCTGACATCGCATCTGAGAGGGTGTCTTTGGCATGACTTTCTTTTCCATGGCCATTAAATTAATAAAATACTCCCATCAACGATGACCGCGCTGTAAGAGACAATTGCATATTGGTTCCTTCTTGAGTCGTTGGATTTATTTCGCTGCACTTTTGACCGAAGTCGGGTTTGCAGAGTTAACCCTGACCCTGATCAGGGTGTATGAAAAATCACATTAAAAACTGAAGATTCGGGATTCTCACGGGTTAAACTGACGGGTCAACCTTCCGATTCTTGAAGGATTAGGCCAAAACCTCTTTGAAAGCGAGAAGGGTTATAACCACTATCTGATATCGAAAGAATGAAACTAAACTCTCTGATTTCAAAAGTGTGAAACTCGACTCGACGATTTTAGAGTGAACATCACAACGATCGTAGACAGAAATAAGCTGAAAACAGAGTCAATCCAGTGGAAACTCGAGTGGAAACTCAATCTACTCCATTGTGTTCATTTCATTCTAAATCGTTTGAAGTGAATTTCACTCAAATTAAGTGAATTTTCACTCTTTAGAGAAGAGAATCAATGAAGCACTATACACAGTAATACCCAAACTGAAACTTTGCCCTCCGATACTGAACTAGGACTTCTATTCGTGTTGGATTTTTTAATCCTGCAATACTTTCTGCTATTAATTAACTAATCAAAGTCCAAATTTTGTCATTTTTACTGGTGCCGGGCCCAGCGATCAACAAAAGAGTTTGTCGGCTCTGTCAGATATCTGTTTAAGCGTTTGGATGTATACCGGATGACCTTGCCCCCCTTGTGCTGTCACATCCTCCGATAGAATAGTTCAACTGTAATGAATTCCGCAAGGAAGTTGTCAAGGTCCTCTGTTCTTTTTGTCAACAGTATTTGCTAATACTAACCGCAAACAAATCACATGCAGCTTATACGCATCTGCGGCATTCAAAAAGAGCACCTTCAAAATCAGGTGTTTCAACATTATGTGCGCTGGAGCGAGCTGTTTCTTGGAAGATAATCCTCGGATTTACGTGTCACCCTCATTTGAGGTTTTGTTAAATGTCTCACTTCCTCTGGACTTTTATATTTGTACGAAATAAGGAAAAGCCCATTGTTATCTGAGTGGCGTCTTTGCTCTACAGGATACGGTCAGGTCGATTTGTGGGGTGGGTGCGCATCTGTGCGTTGAACTTGAAACCATTGGCATGGGCCTACAGTACAGTTTACATATTTTGTACATGGGTCAGTAGCTGATCAAGGAGATTTCCAAGAGGGTTGGCTGTAGACTCTAGAACAAGATTAGGTAACTTTGGTAAAAAAATACTTTTGGCCGATACTTTTGCCTTGTCTTCGAAACGTTTTTCAATGAAATAGATTGACTGCATTGTTGTCGGAAACTGTTTAATAGCTCTCATACCGCGATAAGATATTAGCCTGTTTCGTGTCGTTACACAAATTGCAGTTAGTTATGCGAGTTAGGGCCAATGTATCCAATAGAGATATGATTACAACGGAGACTTAGTGTTTTATTTGGTAAAGATGTATGTACATTCTCTCTACTTTTAACCACGTCCCCTTGACATGTGTAAGAGCCGCCTTGAAACAAGCCTAGGGTGCCGGACCTTCCGTATTTGAAAGGTCAAGTTGGTCACTCAAAAGGTGTACACGTGCCTATCTCAGCTAAACAGAGCACTGACCTCATATGACCGCCACCTTTTTGTTCATTTCTGATTGCTTACCATTTCTAATGACCTACCTTAACAGTCTGCATATTTCACTTCATCTAGCTTTGCTGAACGACCGTTGCGTTCGTCTATTTTCCTCATCGACTGGCGTACCGTTTCGAATTCTACCAAAATGTCGGACAAGTTTACTGCTGTTTGTTCCTTTGTGGGCGCAATTTTCGTTGTTCTTGGAGGTATTGCAGTGTTTGGGCTGTGGGTTGACCAGTGTCAACTTGGTCACGGGGATTCCCTGAATGTCCAAGTGGATCAAGTCACCTTACTCACCGCCCCTACTGACAATGTCTTCTTGGGATGGGAGTCGCTGTTTGGAAAGCCAGCTGATGAAATCTCCGTCAACATCCATTCGGCAGTCCTCTGCGGTTACGCGACACAAGCACAAGAGATTTACGAGGGCCAGTCTCTCAACTTTGGAGAGTCGTTGTCCATAAATTCTTTCTTCAACTTTGGGGTGTCTTTCTGGCTGGAGGAGTCGGACGGTGGGTTCGAGGGAGCAGATGATCTCTCGCAAGTGATCGAAATTCCAAGCAGCCAGATGGATAGCATGAGAAGGACACTAGACAGCGGGGCAGCCGACTTCATCCAACTCAACTACTCCGTCGTGGTCGAGGGTAAAAACATCTTCCAGGAGAATTCCTGGTTTGGGTTCCTTGCGGAAAACCTCTGCGTTAGCGCGTTGGACTTTGTGTTCGGGCCCTGGACGAGCAAAGCAGTGGGGAAGGCGGTCCTGTTCAAGTCTGGCGACATGGCAAAACTTTACAACGCTGTCAAACTCCAGCACGAGGCAGGGACGCTCACCAAGAAGAGCCTCATGAAAGCCGTGGTTACCTATCAATTCCGCTCGGGAGCCAAGAAAGCAGTGGTGAAACCTTTCACGAGGAACGTGATTGAAACGGTGAAAGAGTGGGCCCTGAACCAGACCATGCTTGATGAGAAGATTACGGACACCGTGACCATCCTAAGGGATGATGGTGTTTATACCGCAACTGGCCAGGAAGGGTTGGATATCTATCGCACAGTCAACAATGAACTGGATCAATGGGCAGGCTATCTGGACTCTCTGACCGATTCTCTCGAGTTCTGCCTCGCAGAAGTTTTGCCGCCCTCCAAGGATGCACTGTACTTTGTCAGTATGACTGTCCGACGCTAGACTAGGATGTACTTGATTAGTCAAGGCATGACCTTCGACAGACGTGTAAAAGACTATTTCATAATATAGTACTGTATTATAATGAAACTATAAGGGTTTTATATTTGAGGTGTGTTGTTTCTGTGCACGACACAATGAAATTCATGTATACTTGTGATTTTGCCATTAATAATCTTCAGAAATAATACTTAAAATGATCTAGAGACGTTTGACACTCACGCCCTCAAACTTGAATTCACTTCTGTGAAATTCTTTTCAATGAAGTTCAATGGAGAAAGGATAATGTGACCTTGTTATCTTTGGTATGAGGTTGGTAAAGAAACAGCGTAACCCTACCGTACTTAATCTTTTTATAGGGGCACACATTAATCCCACTCTACACCAAACGAACGTAATCTAATGAGACCTATATATGTATAGCATGAAATCACTGAAGCCCTGTTACCTATCGGTATATTCTATTCGTCTTAAAAACATTTACCTTGTGACACCAACCTTACTGACACACGTTTAGTTTTTAACATAAACATATATAAAGTGTGTGTATACATATATATATATATACTTTTATCTCAGTATAATTTTTATGTTGAACCCTGTAGGTTTGTCTTTGATATTCCGCCGAAGA